AAACCTAAAGTCACCGGAGCGACCCCAGAGGTTCCACAAGCTGGACACGATATACCGCCTCCAAAATAGTATTTGCGTCAAGAATTTTCCAGACGCTGCTCTGAACTGGAAAAACTAGAATCCGTGGACGACATCACGGCGTCGCTCCGAATTCAGCTCTTCCACACATTACCGTTCAAATTGACACGGATTCCCGCCAAATACGCGAAGTGTACGCGTTCCGTACAAATTTGCGTCAAGTGCACAATTTTCGGATTTATTCATAGCACGCTCACAGTTCACTTCAAATCTAACCAGTAAATTCACTTCGGTGTGTTTGTTTTTTATCGTCCTTTGAGTCATATGTGGGTTATGACGCTCCGGATGGTGATGTTATCCGGATACGAAGAAGAATTCGTCCATTGCTGTCTTCATAGTGGCAAAAGTGGTGGGAGGGATCAAATAAGAGAACTAGGTAGATCGAAGAACTGCGTTCCGGCATCAAGGCGCTCGTCCTTTATGCGATAAGGTTTGTCGTAAGCGTCCTTAACTAGTTGACTTTGTTGTTTTGGCGAAATGTTCGGAGCTGAGTGCTCGCCGTATCAGGTCGTTTTCGATTCGTTGGGCTCAAGTGATCATTACATTGCCATGAGTAACAGATGAGGAAGATGGCAGTGTAACAATTGTAGGAGTGAAATGTAGTTCTTGGATTACTTTTCACTACAACAGTTTTTTTCGAAAAAGCAGTTCTCATCATGAATATCGTCAATAAAGGCTTATCGATGATATGATTGCGGTGAATTGACACCTGGACACCCACTATTTATACCTTTTTCTAGGTAATGCTTGCCCACAGCCCTTAACAGTTACTGTATTAGGTATTAAGAGGAGGAATACTTTGTGTCCTAGCATGCTTTATTGCTTATTTGGATGCTTGGACGACCACTCGTCACGACTACTGCGATCCACATCACTTCTCCATCCGTCTCTTTACCCGCGATCGTCGTCCATGGTGGTGGTGTGTACCTAGTCTGATGTCATATGGGGCTACCACGCCGTTAATATGGAAAGCGTTTGATACTTCGAATGTAGCTGATAGATCTTAGTTACAAAATGCAAAGATACAAAAAAAAACTGTGAACCTTCGTACGTTTTATAGGTGATCCAAAAAGAAAGAAAAACCAACCTTCGCCCCTTTTGCGCGGCTTATTGCTAAGAAGACCTTCGGGTTAAGAAGACGACCATGAAGCTTTGCGTCTTTTATATGACTAGGCGCTTCCCCTAAGAGGTTCTGAATGAACGTTATGCGTGCTGCTCGTACTCTAGCTTTTGTGGTCCATCACCATAGAACAGGGAAGGTTTTCCAAGTTGGAGATTTTATTTTCTCGTTGTACCATCTGATTTCCTTCTTTGTTGGATGCTGTTACCTCACTGTAACTCTTTTGTTTACTTTCGTGGTCGTGTTTTGTGTTCTGCTTGTGAAATATATGATTGGGTTCTATCAGAAATGACAGCAGCTATCAGTGTTACGCCAGCGCAATATCGCAAATATGGGATAAATGGTGAACTCCGGCTCTCTACTGGTTTCTTCCAGGTATATTTCAGGATCTCCAAAATATTTTGAAAAATTTTATTCATTTACATTGTAGATCACAACAGGAAATAACATGTGATAATTCTTGTGTCAGAGAAGTTTTTTTTCAGCGCTACTTCGAAAGTGATGGAACGAGCACGGAGGTGCCGATTCTTCAAGTTTCGGTGCGTCCCCCTTTGTCATATTTAATTCGTGTAGCATCATGAACACATTGCAGCTTGCGAGAAAGTTAGGAGAAGGAATGGCTGGCTGGCCAGAATCTTGTCTTAGACTGAGGTTGACGGATGGCGCTTTCCACTATTCTGGCAGGTTTTTCACTTTATGGTGGCGTTCACATTAAAATGGTTGCACGGATTCTAGAACTTTAGAGAATTTACTTTTCAAAGAGTCCTGTTTGTTGCTAAGTGTTTGTTCTAACGTTTTATCTAGAGACTTACTGTGAAGTGTTCTATTCGTTATCCCTTACATGATTTTTAATAATTTTTTGTTTTAAGGGCTCTTCGTTGTGAGGAGCTTGGAGGCTCAGTGTGATCGAGATAACCTGGTTGGCAATGCTGAAAACGGTGGTGAAATAATTGCAGTGACTAAGATGTATATTAATCCTACTGGATGTGTTGGCAAGAAATCAGAAAATGTTCCCGGGTGTGTGTTTCAGAATCGTTCCTGCTTTTATTAGTTCTTGTTTTTTCGTATTTTTTCGTCGTGGGGTTTGTTCTAGTTAATTCTTCCCATCTCTGGATTGATAGCCATCACAGCATAGTTGCCGTTCTTGGGATGTGGTTTCTCTCGTTTTTTATTTGTGGGATTGTTGGGGAAAATGGGGAAAAAGAAAAAATGAAAAAGTCAGTAAAAAAGATGCAATCCTTCTGAATACTTCCAACATTTGTATACTTACAGTTTAAACAAATTCAGGAAGCCTATGCTCATGATCGCTGGGTATGAGTTACTCTCAAGGGGGCACCCAATTTTTGCTCCAGGTATCAGTCACGATGGCGATAAGGTTTGTGAGAATTTGGTCTAAAAAGCGTAGCGGTGTTTTAATTGTTGTGGTACAATTTAGGATAAGTTCTCCACATTCAAACCTACTGAGGTGTATTCAGTACCATGGGGAAATCCAAGCATTCTGGGTGCGCAGGCTCAAGGTGGTGCACGTGAGTGGTGTTATTTACATATGAATGAGCTAAAGTATGTACGTTTCCTTTCAAACGCTTTCGTTTTTGAAGGAGCGATATCTCACCAAATGTACAAAGAATGCAATTGTGTAGATATTTATTTAGAATCTGCTCGTCCTGCAGCTCCACGAAGGCAACCACAAAGTTTCGGTTCTGGGAATGTAACACCTATAAGTGTGATCACTCCTTACATCAGCAAATGGCGTATTTGTGGTCTTTGCACCGCAAAAGAGGAGTTGAAGACAACTAAAGCCAGAAGTGGTGCTGGAGACATGAAGGTGCTAGGCATGAATCGACCGTTTTCTTTTGTTTTCTCATCACTAGATTGTGTGGAAAAAATAAATGGCGCGTGTGGCGCAGTGGTAGGAGGCGCCGTGCAATACCTATCGGATCGATTTCCCAGCCCCAGACCCACTAAGCCTTCCTTCGCTCTGGGGTCGCAAATTGCTACCAGATTTGTCTGGGAGAATGCCAGCACTGGTGCGATACATAGGTAGACCACTGCGAGTCATATAAAGGTCGGGTATGCACTCAATCACCTCCAGTGATGCTGAATGAAGTCGAGTGCATGGCACATCCCTTCGGGATTGATTAACGCCGCGAGCTTTATCCTTTCATTTATGGAAAATAATCTAAGATCTTGACTTTCATCTTCAAATGATTGCATTGTTCAAATTAAAAGTATACCAAATTAATAGGTATAAAAAGGTTAAAGCATAACTACATTACTACACTGACTGACTACATTAAGCATCGTTTGAAGGTGATTGAAAGCTTATCAGGCCTTTACAATGACTCGCAGTGGCCTACTGATGTATCGAGCCAGCGCTGCTATCTGGTACTAATTTGCTGACCCCGGAGGGACGGAAAGCTTGGTGGACTGAGGGCGCGGAAATCGATTTCATGTGTATTGCAGGGTGCCTCAGACCACTGCACCACACACGCCAAATATAGGTGTAATATAAATAAGGTTTGCTAATATCTATACATTTTGGAAACGAAGCGCCTTATCACTTGTACCTCTGTTGATTGCCTATCGAGGCAAACGAGGCTCACCAGAAACATTAGGACGAATATCTCATAGCTATAGGCTACTGAACTTCACTTTCATATTGTCCTATGGAATACCATTCTTCGGTGAAATTATCGGAATTTTGAAATAATGTTTTGTGGTATGTTAATGCTTTGGTGAACTCCTTGCGCCGAAAAGTGACCATTTGTATTGTAGATTGTCAAGGATTTTTTGTAGCTGGTAGGGAGGCCTTGGCTTTATACTAACACTGTTATGACGGTTTTTGTGTCAATTGAGTCAACGGCTCATTTTCAGTTGAGAAAGTGGAACAAAGTAGCGTGTCGTGTTTTCACGACATTTAGCTGAACTTCTTTATCGTTTGAATTGATCCATTTTGCCCAACATTTTCGTAATCCCGCTTGCACATGCGACAATCACGCATTCGAGTATTCTGTAGTACTGTTGGGGATGACACCGATAAAGAACTTCTTCAAGACAAGAGGTAGATTAGGCAGTTGTTGACAATGTCGTCCTGTTCTCCACTTTTGTGAAACAAGATGGTATTACCGGTAAGTGGTCAACACGACCTTGTCGTCTGCAACAAAGATAGTGCTTTTCTTTCTCTTCTTGTATAATAAACAGTACTATGAACTGTGTCTTTTCGCTCTGACCACTCTGTTATTCTCACACATAATCTTCTTTGCCTACATTGTTGGTCTTCGGTGGCGAATTCAGTTGCTAGCGTGCATCGTTTCTGCTGATTCTAAATGCTCTTTCTACTTCTGTTCAGCAAGCACGAGGTGCTATTTTATTTCTTTATTTACGCACAAGCTGACGTTTCGGCGGATTTCGCCTTCCTCAGAGCCGCTTTCTATGAGTCCTCCACTGAGTATATCGCGTGAAGACCGACCGCACAGAATTCACATGGAAGCGTAATGAATCCCATGTGAATTCCATTTCATTTAATTGAATTCCATTGTATTCCATTTCATTTAATTGAATTCCATTGTATTCCATTTCATTTACGCTTCCATGTGAATTCTGTGCGGTCGGTCTTCACGCGATATACTCAGTGGAAGACTCATAGAAAGCGGCTCTGAGGAAGGCGAAATCCGCCGAAACGTCAGCTTGTGCGTAAATAAAGAAATAAAATAGCACCTCGTGCTTGCTGAACAGAAGTAGAAAGATATATTCAATCAATGCCGAGGTTAATAGAAAGTCGGACTTGGGAGTTTCTAAATGCTCTCATCTACGTAGCGAAATCTTTGAAACCTATTCGTACTGTTTTTTGTGCGCTGGTTTGTGATTTCTTAGCTAAATGTTAGTATTTCGACTGATTTTAACTTGAAGTGTGAACCCATTAACACAAGGACAAAATCGTCAACGTGGAAAAATGGAGAAAAATTTAGGTTTTGATTCTAATCTAGCACCAATACAAGGTGACTAAATATTTCGAGGGAACGTGTAGATGGTTGTAAAGGCAAAACATTTGTTAGTATTCTATGAAATTAACATCATTCTGAAGCCTGAGTTGTTTTACTATTGAATTTCAAGACGAGTACATATTTTACATAACGAAGAAACGAAGACGTTTTATTTGGTGCGAGAGCCTTTAAAACTTCGAAAAGTTTGTAAACATGTATTTGATATATTACTCCTATTCGGTAACAGGACTTCTATAATAGTCCAAAGTTTTGAGATTCAGAAATACTTATTCTTTAATTGATAAAGCTAACACGAAATTGATAAAATGAACTTTATTCGGCTAACGTCTCGTTGTCTCCATCTTCCTGAGCGGCAATGATCTGACTCAAAATGTCGAAACTTGTGTTACTTCATCAATGAAAGAATACGTATTGATTAGTTATGGTGAAGTTGAGGGAAAGTTAGTTTTTGAAGTATTCTGAAAAACCTTTATGTTTGCTTGACGTTTTTGCTGTACTAGGTTAGATCAGTTTCAGGTGTTCAGTTTCGAACTGACAGACAAAGACGGCTCATCAATTCGCATCTCAGGTTTCAACGATGTAGCTGAAAGAGCGTACAGTATAATACAAACGGATTGTGTACGTTTGATAACACTTCTATGTTAAGATCATGCACAAAAAATGCATTTACAGTCATATTATCTATCTGGAGGTATTGTAAAGCAGGCAAATAAGCGATTTAATACAACAGGTCACGACTACGAGCTATCTCTCAGTGCAAGTTCGGAGGTATGACATCTCTTTTATTGTTTGATTTTACATATCGACACATTTACCAAGATGCGTAATTTTGGGTTCTGTCCTCCACATCTGTTGGCGCCTATCATTTCCTGATTCCCGTGTATTCTTCGATAAATAAACTTCTTTATAAGCTACAACCCTCCAACGGTTTACCGCCTCATCGTGGCTGGCAGGTGTTCCTGGTTGTCGGGCTGCGATGTACAGCGGGGGATTCGTCACCCCGGCAGCGTCTCCTATGCTGATAAAGAATCCGGTATTTCCATGAGCAATCCCAGCTAGGAGTAAACCAATACCAGGATCCACCACGGTCCTCATATCTGACTAGTCGCACAGTGACAAAACGCCCTCTGATCCACAGGAGCGGTAACTGCCTATCGTGGTGGCGACGTGGAACAGGCATTAGCCAGGATAACAGGATTGGGACTCCAGGGAAACAATGGCTGAATTAGCAAAATTCCGAAAAGAAGAATATGCTTGGGTCCGCACAGCCAGTGAGGGCGCACCGTCCAATAATCCAAGTAAATAAAAGTTGCAAAAGAGTTGTTGATAAGTTGTAAATTTGATATTTTTATAGAAAAGCCTTTTCTATACTGCTGTAGATATGCATGCAATTTTTCTAAAATGTCATTTTTGCTTTAATTCCATTTAAAGTCAAAACGTGGAAGAAGTTTGCAGTTAAATTTGAACTCTTGAAGTTTTTAAGTCTTTTTTAGCAGTTATTTTCGTAGTTTTTAAAACAGTTTCGTGGGTTTTTTAGGGTTTCTTTTAAATTTTCTTGCTGGATGACATCCTGCTTTTTCAATCCCAATCGCTAGGTTATCCCAAAAGACACAGGCCAGCTTTAACAATAAGGCGAAAAGGATACCTTCTATGAGCTCTAAAAATTGTAGTCGTTGCAAAATTAAGAAAACCGTTTATTGTTGGTGAAGTTCTATAGATGCCGGTGCTTTTTTTCCTACTAATAACCACTGTTTAACATTGAGAAGCGCGATATTTTATACGACGTACGACTAGAAATCTGTGAATACAGACTAATACGCCCCCCCCCCTCCTCCTCCTCCCTCTCCCCAACTCATGTATGAGTTTAAATCAAACTGGCTTGCCGCGATTATAAAAGAAGGATAAAGCTCTCGGCGTTGATCAATTTCTGAAGGATGTGCCATGCATTCGCCTTCATTAAACATCGTTTGAAGGTGATTGAATGCATATCTGGCCTTTATGATGACTCGCCGTTGCATACCGACGTATCCAGCCAGTGCTTCTGTCCTTTCAGACAAGTCTGGTACTAATTCGTAGACCCCGGAGGGATGGAGTGGTTGGTAGGTCTGGAACGCGGGGATCGATCCCATGTGTATTGCAGAGCGCCTCCGAGCACTGCGCTACATGTGCACCCTAATGTATTACCGAGTTATGAACAATGTATTTAGTTATGTGATTAGTTGTGACTTTTCAAACATTGGATTGGATTTGCTTTAGTTATTTAGTGTACTAAAGCACATTCATTTATTTATAAAGTTTTTTGTTTTAACATCTTTTGCAAAGACCTTTTTTATATCTCGTTGCTCTAAACTTTCTGTAAATTGCAAGCACAGATCGCGCCGTGCCATGACCAAATTCCCAAGCCAGCACTTGTACTGAAAATTTGTCCACTGATAAATATACCGAGTCACAAAGACGAAACAGTGGATGTGTTGGCAGTTGTTGACAGGATAGAACCCGTTAATAAGGTAATTCTTCAACCATTATGCATATTATTGTATTGGTTAATTTTTTCCTTTAGTTTATATCAAAACAAGGGCGTGATTGTGTCAAACGCGATGTTGAACTGATTGATCAAACGGCGACCGTTGTCCAACTTACGCTATGGGGTGAACAAGCTGAGAATTTTGAAGATCATGCGCTTGGACAGGTTATTTCTATAAAAGGAGCCTTGGTAAAAGAGTGGAACGGTCAGTCATTGTTCTCGTTGTAGTCGTCCTATTGCAGACACCATAAATTGTTTAGTGGGCATTATCCCAATCTTTTTTTTTTCAGGAGCTTTCAGCTTAGCAGTAGCATCGGGCTCAAAGATTGAGTTGAGTCCTCAGCTTGATGTAGTCCCTAAATTATATGAATGGTATATGAGCGAGCGGGCGAAGGTTGATACAAAAACAATAAGCATGGTAGCTTCCGCAGGAGGCGATTCTTTTGGCAAGTGTTTTTCTTTCGTGTTTTCCTGCTGTGTAAACTCATCCTCACGGAATAGGTCGTGATTTGCGATTCATTGGCACTCTGACCGCACTCCAACTAGGCAACGAAGCTATTCTTCCAAATGGTCGCTACATGAACTTGAAGGCAATGATAACTACGGTGAAAGCTGACAATGCGTTGTACCAGGCCTGTTTTGTTTTATGGAATTCGAAATAGATCGATTAGATTCCCAATGTTTTATTCTGTATTTTAGAGAATAAGTGCGCTTGCTATAAATCTAACTGAAATTGCAGCTCAAAATTTACTCAGCTTCATATTTTTGTAGAGCTGTCCCAACGATGGTTGTTCCAAAAAGGTGGTCCAGCTTGGTGTCGAGCAGTACCGTTGTGAGAAGTGCGACACAACAAGTGACGCTTTTAAATGGAACTATATGGTGCAGGTATCAAGAAGCTCTTAATATCTGGCTCTCACTAATTCTTTTGTGCTAACATTTCTGTAATTGTTACGTTTTTAGGCTGAATTAACTGATCTGACTGGTTCTGTATGGGTTACGTTGTTCTCCAACCCGGCAACGAAATTATTTGGTATGGAGCCACAAAAGTTGGGAGACCTCAAGGAAGTGGATGTAATGCACTTCACGTGCTCTTCATTCACTCAAGCACTTATTTCTCTTTGTACCGTTGTAACGAAATTTCAGAAGGATGCTTACAACAGAGTGTTTACCGATATTTGTTTTAAATATTTCAACTGGCGTATTAATGCGAAACCCAACACGTACAACGTGAGTGATGCTGCTTAGATTTCTTCGAAGTAGAATTTCTCACTTCTTTTATGATATCTGCTATCGTTTTGTTTCAGGATGAGACTCGAATGCGTTACTCAGTGCTCGGATGTGAACCTGTACCTTATGATCGGTATATACCTCAGCTAGAATTAGCCTTAGAGAAATTGGAACAATTAGAGTGCTAGCGTTAGCTTCCAACTCTGACTTGTATTCACTAATATGAAAAACATGCTGCAAATTTTGTTACTTTCCATGTTCACATTATTGTGCTATGTACTCATCCTCTTGATATTATTCTGAGTTAATTATATTGCGATCTCGTTGTTTTGCGATGGGCTCCTTCTCCTATGTTAGGTATGTCCTCACACATTCTTCAATAAAACTATTCGCTCGGAGATGAAACCATTCTGTAGATAGGGTTATCAACCAACAGTTACTTCTTAGCAAACGCAGGTAAGGATTATGTGAATAGTCATGTTATTGGTGCAGTAATTTAAAACTGAGTTTCTTATGCGTGCTACATCAAATTGATGCACAGTTTTTTGCGGCACCCGCAGTCACTTGATTTTAACTAGTGGTTACCGATATGTACTTCCTACAACAGTTGACCACATACATTTTCTTTCTCTTAGGGCTTTTCTTCATGCGTTGTTACTGGTTCTGGGGGGGTTTCCGAGGGACTAATACGTTGGTAATAATGCCGATCGTCACGATCATGTCGCCGGTTCGATCATGCAACAACCTTACTAAGCTTCTTATCCCTCCAGAGTCGAGAAATTGGTACCAGGCTTGTCCAGGAAGAAATGTTTGCAATCCAAGGAGGATGCTCTAACCCGGTTATCTCAGGATTCTGGAAATAATCGACTGGACCAGCATTCTACGACATTCAAGGTAAGTGTTCAAACAGCAGTCGAAGGCACCCGTCAAAGTTAGAAGACATTAATGGATGATGAATGCGAGTAAACGAATTGAATGTGAGAGGTTCTGGGACCCAAACACTAGACGTGAAGACGGGTCATTTGAAATAAAAAATGCTTTCTCTCTCTCACATGTTGTTCTATGTTTTGGGACATTTCCAACTTTTATGCGTGTGGTGCAGTGGGCAGAGGCGTCCTGCAACACACACGTGGAATCGATCTCAGCACCCATGGCCCACCAAGCCTTTCATTCCTGCGGATCGGCAATTTTCTACCATACTTGTTTGGGAGGACAGCAACACTGGCTCGGTACATCGGTGGGCCACTGTGAGTCATTGTAAAGGCCTGATAAGCATTCAATCATCTTCAAACGATGCTTAGTGAAGTCTAATGTATGGCGCATCCTCAAAGAATTGGTCAACGCCGGGAGCTTTTTTGTTTATGCATCCATTAGAGCGTGAATAATAAATAAATAAGTGTGACGCGCTACCATGCTGGAGTAAACCATCACCACGTTTGTAAGGGAAAAACGAATTGCAAATGTGCTGGGTTTCGCACAACTCGTGAAGACGAACCATCCAAGTATCCAAGTATTGGGATGTGAATAGTTCATTGCCGAGATGTTGTTCAATACTCGGAAGATTCTGACTCGATATCGCCCAAGACCAAGACTCGCTTCGTCCTTCCGTGGCTGGGAAATTGTTTCCGCACTTGCGCCCGAAAAGCTCTCTCCGATTCACAAAGGCTGGCTACTGTCTGTAATGAAGAACTGGAAATTCCCTGGTACGGCTGTCCTATTATTCGATGGAGAATCAACTCTGCCAGCATTCAAAGACGAAGACGTAGTAATGAAGACGAAAATCCTCGACCAGTAGCCGAACCCATGCGTTAATCAGTAGGTATTAGTGGACACTAGTGTTCCAATCGCGTCATTGTTTGATACCATCTAGGGTCTCAAGGTACAGCAAGAGACGGATGCTAGCTTCTCGGTTTTGCAAACAGTGTATGCTACAATAGTCAGGATAGTTCCCATAAAATTACGACAATTGTGGACCATCTGCTGGAGTAGAGGTGTGTCTGAATTCAGAGAGCAGCTGTAGGGCCGGCAAAATCGGAAGCGTACAATCGTGCTGGAATGGAAAGATGGGAAGGAGATTACTATGATGTTGTGATAGAGAGACCGATTCGAGATTATAAAGAGAGGTAGATGCCAGGTTTCCTTTCAGAACGTTCTTACACTACTACAGCTGTGAATATAACATCAAGATTTCAAAGATCGTTAAGAAGATTTCTGGCAATCTGACTGGAGACAGTTCGCTTCTATTCACTAATGCGCTAGTCCGTACATAATCATTTACATAATTTGTTTTCCTGCTAATGTTGATACATCTGTGCAGGTTAGTTCCGAATGGCGGACTCGGTCTGTTGCGATCCTTTAGCGAGCGAGAGGTGGCGAGATATTCGCCGTCTCACAGACAGGCCCTCAGAGTTCGCCATGCCATGGTTTGAAGCTGGTTCTGAGGTTGGAATATTTCATTTCTGACCGTCATAAGGTTAACATTTTACCTTTGAAGAACATGGAAGCACTACACAGTATGCGGGTACTTGTCGTTGGTGCAGGTGGATTGGGATGTGAACTGCTGAAGAATCTAGTAAGCTCGCACTTCTTAAATTCTTATTTTCTGCACGTGGTTGGAGTGCACTTAATCACTTAAGTTTTTACGTATTTTGGGCGCTTTCTGGTTTTCAAAACCTGGACGTTATTGATATGGACACCATCGATGTCACGAATCTCAACAGACAGTTCCTTTTTAGGTATGTTTTCAAAAATTTGTTGAAAATTTAATTCGGTGGACTTGCGATAATTAGGTTATCTGAAGACTTAACACATTTGTGGATAAACAACTTTTTCACCTACAGGGGTATGTATAATGCAAGTTTAATAAATCACTGCTATGACCTTTGCTAAATATTCGGGTATCGTCGTTCCCATATGGATAAGATGCCTCTCGTTTATTCGTTTCCCTACTCGAAAAAATATATAGACCACTGCTCTTCTCACCTACACAGACGGGAAAAAAAGCGAAAGTTAAACTCTACGATTTCCTGAAACCTACGACTCAACTTTTATGAAATAGATAGATTTCTATCCTGTTTTTAGATTCTAGAACGTATCACCTGTATCATCTGTAGTCCCGCTGATCGTCGAGTGACTCGCCAGTAAATCTTTTATTTCTCCCTGTCGCGTGCAAGAGTAGCTCAGTGGGTACTGCTTGCTCTAGGAACTCGTTGAGCATCGTATCTTTCTTCTAGACTTTTCGTGAAGCACTCTGAACATCGAATCGGTGGTCTTCCTGCATTGCGTTTGACATCCCGAGGAATCCAGTCACTAATGGCTCTTGTCCATCTGTTATCATTCATACGCGCTACATGTCCGACCTGCCTTATCTTCGGCTGTTTGGCGTACAGAACGGCATCTTTGATTTTTGATCGTTGACGAAGATCGGAGCTTCGGATCGCATCCCTTACTTGTGTGGAACGAGATACTCCTAGCATCGTCCTTTCGACCGCGCGTTCGATAACGCTGAGTGACCTTTCATCCTGCTAACGCAGCGACCAAGTTTCTGACGTATACATTAGGGCAGGAAGTACCGTTGAGTCGAAAAGGTGGGCACGGCGTCGGGTGTTCTTTGTTCTCTTCACTACATCCTCGATGCTCTTGAAAGCTCACCGGGCCGCTTGTTTCCTTCTGCTTTGCTCTGGAGCTAAGTCGTTCATCATATTGATTTCCCAACCTAGATATATATATATATATATATATATAAAATTGGAGCATTCGGAGATATTCGATGCGTTGAGCTTGAATGGGGCATACGAAAGATCCGTTCTTCGTGAACATCGTTTTTGTGAGATTTAATCGAAGACCAATCCGGCCTTTATCAAAGAAGGCAAGCATTCGTTCCACCTGGCTAATGTATGGTGTTATAAGGACGATGTCGCCAGCAAAGCGAAGATGGTGTAATTGCCGACCATCGATTTCCACTCCCATATTTTCCCATTCCAATGTTCACATGACGGTAAATAATTTCGGCGAGATGGTATCACCCTGCCTAACCTCTCTTTTGATGTCGATGTTAATGTCGTTGTAGAATGGTCATAGTGGGTTCCATGACTGCTATCTCAACTGAGACAAAAACCCTCTTTAAATCGCTGAAAGTGGTGAAAGTGACAGAGTGGTCTTTTGTGCCCTCGCGATATTACAATGAGTCTAGTTATCGTGTGACTGTGGTCCATCTTACTAAATCCTTTTAGAAACCTTGCTTGTCTGTCTCATATAGTGCTTTGTTAATTCTGTTTAGGATGACTCGAGTGAATAGTTTGTAGACGACAGAAAGCAAGCAAATAAGGCGATAGTTGCCGATATCGTGGAGGCCACCCTTCTTGAACAATGGCATGCTCTTGCTGGTCTTCCTTCCACTGAGTAGGAACCTTGCATCCAAATTGGTAACGTGTAAAGAGCTGGGCCAGTATGTATACTAGGACTGGCGGAAGGTTATTCAGGTATTCAGATCTTATCCTGTCTGAACCTGGTGCTGTTCGATTTTTCACCGAGGAAAAGGCATGTCGCAATTGGGAAGGGAGAACCGGTGGTACAACATATTCGTCCTCTTTTATTTCATATGACGGAAAGTAGACGTGGCATTCGAAGAGATCGGAGTAGTATTCGTGAATGGTTTTCTCCATTGTCTTTCTGGACGCTGTAACTTTTCCGTGTGCGCGTCGAAGTGCATTCATTTTGGTCTTGTAATTGGCGAGGCTTCGGTGGGCTTTGCGAATGCTTTTCCCATCTTTTGGAGCTTCGACCATTACTGCTGCTCTCTGACCATTTCTTTTTATGATCTTCTTTTATCGCCTGCCTGCACTGTTTTGGAAGTTCGGACGGTAGTTCGCGGTTGTCTGCACCTCGTGCGAAGCCACACTGGCGTATTAGCTCAAGTGTTTCTGGAGACAGCCGTCCTTTGGTGACTTTCGAACTCTCAGCTTTCATAGTGCTAAGACGAAGATGTTGAGTGAGCCGACCGTATTCCTCGTCGATGTTATCGACAACGGCATCTTCCCAACAACTGACTACTGAATTGAATAAATCCCAAGTTATGGCGGTTTTGGGACTTCGTTTTTTGAATTCAGCGGCTTTTTCTTCCTTCTGCGAGAAATACAATTTTACAGGAAGGAGGCGATTGTCTGGTACCGTGATATGAAGATGTTGAGTGAGCCGATCGTATTCCTCGTCGATGTTATCGACAACGGCATCTTCTCAACAGCCGACTAATGAATTGAACAAATCCCAGTTTACGGTGGTTTTGGGGATTTCGTTTTTTGAATTTAGCGGCTTTTTCTCCTTTCCGCGAAAACTGAAGTCTTGCACGAATGAGGCGATGATCTAATTCCGTGTAGAATTTTGGGACAACAGCGACATCGGTTAGGCAAAGCCTTCGATTTACTATGATGTGGTATATTTCGTTATGTACTCTTCATTGGGACACTCCCACGTCCAGCGTTGAGGGTGATTCTGGAATTGCGAGTTACTATGGATTGTCTTGGTCGTCATGATAAACTGAGGCAGCCGTTCACCCTGTTCGTTCCATTCTAATCCGTGGGTCCCAATGTGACGTTCTTCAGACGTTTTTCTTGGTCCAATCTTGGCGTTGAAATTTCCAGTGATTACCTTGAAGAATGTATGGTCTTCTCTGTGGAGCTTCCTCATAGTTTGATGTCGGCGCGTAAACGACGAAGATGAAGAAGAAAGCCGGTATTGATCCACATCTTTTTAATGGTCCGATTCGGGTTGTTTGTTCTTCGAATGAATCGATGTTCATAGACAAACTTGTGTTGACGAGAAAGCCGGCGCCGCCGACTCCTCTAGTATGTTGCGAGGAACAGTTCTTCTTCGGTGTCATAGACGGCGTTGAATGCATGGCGTCGTCTCGTTTCGGCCAGGATGATGACCTTGTACGTTATCCTTCTCGCTTGCAAGTCAAGTCATCTATCGAAGGCTCGGATGCAAGTATACAGGTGCTGATCGTCACCATAGTTCTTTGAAATTCATGCAGCTTCCATTGGCCCTGAGATTTTAGCAGCCTCTCCGTACTCGTACGTCCTACCCAACGCTACGAAATTGGGAGCTCTTTCGGGGTCAAAGGAATGAGGCCTGTTTTTTTGTGTTTAGCATTTTTGATACCTACGTATAGCTTGCTGGGCTCTGAACGTGGGAGCTGGATATATTCACGGGTAGCCTGTCAGGCTCTCCCAGAGTGGACATGGAATTTAATTGGTGGAGGTGACTCCTAACCGCCTCCCATAAACTTCTCTATCACGTGACTACAGGTTTTGGGCTAATTGACTCGTAGAATGCAATCCGTGTAAAGTAGAACACGCCCACACACGCCTGAATGGATCGTAAATACGGAAGTATGTGACAAATGGGCACAACTGAAACAGTGAGGCCATCCCCTGGATCCACCTGCATTTCAAGGAGACAAAGGTTGCTTTTGGTCCGCGATTAACCCCCTATCCGCCACTTGGAGACGCGCCCACGAGGGAGATCCGTGGACCGTTCCTTTTCTTTTTTTCAGAACATAGTGAATGTAATGCCGTTAAGTAGCAAACTATATGAGAGAAACGCAGAGCAAGGGTATCCGTGGTGCAGTGTGTGGTACGCGAGCCCACGGAAAGGATAATCGTGGTTCGATCTGTCCCGAGGTCTAAGTTTTGCGAATATCTCAGCGTCATAGCAGTTGTATTTGACATTATAACCTCCCGTGAGAAATTATAGTAGGGATGAAACAAAGAGATTAACATTGTAATGCTGTCGTTATGTTAGCGTAACTGTAGACAGCATGATATTCTATCCAACAAGAATGTCTTTCACTAATCACCTTTTAGAGTGGGAGACGTTGGGAAGTCAAAGGCTGAAGTAGCAGCTGCCTTTGTTCAGAGTAGAGTATCAGGCTGCAGAGTTGCTGCGTACGTCCATTAGTTACTATTCGCTTTCCTTTTGCGACATCAATCAGTGATATCAAAACTTCACGATGTGCTTAGTGTGAAATAGTTGCATTACTTTTCTAGTCATAACTGCCGAATTGAGGACAAGCCACCATCCTTCTACCGTCAGTTTTCCCTAGTTATTTGCGGTCTTGATTCAGTATCGGCACGAAGGTGGATTAATGGCATGCTTGTGAGTCCCATGATTAATGTGTGGAATTTTTTCGAACATTTTTCCATAGAAAAGTATTATGTTGACTGTGGCGCTTAGCGGAATGCATTATAAATATGTTGTTAAGCACACAATTCTAATTTTCAAACCGATCGTCATTTACCCTCGGTAGTGAAATAATCAGCATGTTTTTTTAAGTCGTTGAGTTTACCATTGCTGGACCATCGATTCGGGTCATCGGCTTTGATGAAGATGAAAACGTCGAAACGTCAGCCGAAATAAATATCTTTATCAACCTCGTGTAAGCTCAACAACTTAAAAAACAGTTCTTATATCCATTTCACAGTACCAACAAACGCTGCGTTTCTCTCCTTAAATTAACGGCTGATCTTTTAGCGATCAGAATAATAACAAGCTGATTCATCACTCTGCTGATACCTACAGAACATGGATCTGAAATACGCCGCCAAATTTAGTTGACTGAGGAGTGGTGACTGTACCTGTAACATTCCGACAACTTTTACTAGACTGCGTAGCACACTTATGCCATTAGTTAACACATCCGCCACAAAGTATGATTGTCGGTGTCGCCTTTCTCATGGGAATACGGCCAATTTTTCATCAGTTGTCTTCGGACCAGATTGAACTTGGTACGGACTATGCGCATCGTCCGTTGTGGCCTCCACCTCCACCCTGCTAAAAAAGGAAACAGAGCACCTTAATCATTTAGCAGCAGTTTTCATGCTTTCTCATTGAAATGCTACGGTACGCACACGTTTCTATTTAGCAACGGTCCATGGCGCTGCGAGCAAACTCGTCCAGAAAACAGTTTTCGTATTTTTTAATATGTGAAATAGTTTTCCTCAAGCAATATCTGCCATAACATCTGTGATGGAGAAGCTTTTGATTTATTACCAAAGAAAAGGTACAGAAGGAAATGTATCAGTCGGCGCATTGTCGCAGATCTCTTAGAAAGATACTTGTATTTGCTTCATCAACCTTTAAAAGTTTCTTTGCCATTCAGTTTGAAGACTCACCAGCTATTTAAATTTGAAGTGCGATCTGGTGGTAATGGAAGATGGGAAAGTGGTCACAACCACAGTCATACCACTCATCGATGGTGGAACTGAAGGATTTAAGGGCAATGCAAGGGTTATCTATCCGAAAATGTCAGCGTGCATTGACTGTACGCTGGATTTGTTTCCACCGCAGGTTAGTAACCAGGCTACGGACCTTCAGTTTTCACCAGTTTTGAAAATAATTGTTTATCTATTGCAAAAAAAATTTCTAGAGCTTAGCACAACTCTTGTTGTCATTGTTAGAGAGAGGATTTGCTTCCTACTTCTGCCATTTTTTATGTTGCTTCTTTTCTCAAAGCATCCGCATTCACTAGCAGAATTCGAGCATCGTTTGAGGTGTACTTTTCATGGTTACAGAAATATTGTTGTTAAATAGCAGCTTACTGCTTCATCATGGGGAGAGGGAAGAGAATATTTCTGGATTTTGAACTGCCTTATACAACATTCGTAGAGTTTCACAAGCTGAGAAGGAACTCAGCGTTAACACTCTGAAGTCCAGCTAAGGTTAAGCCAATCCCATTGTTCATCACCGTTCTAGTATCAACCTAGTTCCAAAACGGAAAATTTCTCCCAGATCCGCGACGGCCAACGTTTTTTTCTGATCATGTCCACGAAATTAAAATGCAAGTTGTATCGAAATTGTGGGTTCCCCACGATTCTTTACGAAGATCTAGGGCATCCAAATATTCAAGCAAGCACTATTTCGTAAAAGTTGAGAAAGGTCCTCTTCCAGGTGAACTTTCCTCTCTGTACTATAGCGCACACACCAAGGCTACCGGAACATTGTGTAGAATATGTGAAGGTAATTCAGTGGGGCGAAGAGAAGCCGTTTAATGGTGAATTTGAATTTCCTTGTACAACAATGAATCCGTATCCCAGTTGTTGATTACTGCATATTTTCTTTCAGCCGCCGTTCTAGACGTTGATGATCCTGCTCATGTCGAATGGATCTTGGAGAAAGCCCTTGTACGAGCAAAAAAATATGGTGGGTACTTTTCTCAAAGGTCACGATCTGTCTTCAGTGGTTTCCGCTCGATATTACGTGTGCATGTTGTTTTTCGGGTGTAGTTCAAACGCTTGGTGAACAAAGCTTTCGTCATAACAGCGTTTAAATCTATGAGCTCTCGTTATAACGGCGTTTAAATCTTTGTATTACTTTCTCTAAGAATTTGAGGACTAAGTCAATAAGTTAGGCGCGTTATTTGAGCTGCTATGCTCAGTGTTTATTCTTGTTATTCTAGTTTATTTGATAATGACGAAGGTCTTTTCGGTCATCTTTCTTTGGCAGCATGAACGTATCTGCAAGATTCTCCACATCTCTCAAAGTTCTTCTTTTGATGGTGTCATGTTATATTGCTGAAGGATACGTGTAGTGTAGCCTATTCAAATTCCAATTTATTTTCAAAGTGTTCCAATTCACGATTCCAACTCAAAGGGTACTCATGTAATATCGCTCAACAACTCTACAGTTCTTCACGTTTCTTTTTCAAATCCGTCCAACAACTGGTAGTGTTAAAGATTCTGTTTTTATGTCTAGTTTTACTACTTAGCAGTCTTGTGACTAACAGTTCATGGTCAACATTCGGATGATCCTGATTTTCCCAACGAGAGAAGAAATAGTTTTGCCCGAGAGGTCAAGGGAATATGTGCATTGTAATCTTTTCATTCCTCTGCTATGAAGAGATTTCTTTACTTTTTTCATAATCCAGTCGAATCTAATCTCCTACAAAGAGGCGATTGTCGAGCCTAACATTCAATAATGGTACTGATGTCAAGCATGTACTGTACTTTGTTTGTTTGTATATTGTGGACCTTATGTGAGCCGTGAGTGATGCACGCGACGATTTGCTTTTACACATTCAGTACGAGTATCTTGGATAGGGAATGTCTCCTACTTTTCCCACCCTGTGGCTCTCATTTCGCAATATGTTTTCATTATGAATTACTTCAAACCAGTCCAGCACATCAAGTTCATTCACATCGAATTTTATGTGAATTGCCGCGGAATGGTGATTATGACGAAGGTCGACATTTGAGGAAACTATCGCGGTGTTTCCTCCCAAAGGTTTACTGCCAAATCGTGGCTGGGAGGTGTTCCTGGGTGTCGGACTGCGATATACAGCAGGGAGGTTCGTCTCCCCGGCAGGGTCTCCCAAGCTGAGGAGTCGGGCGTTTCCACTAGGAAGCCTAGCTAAAAGTAAACCAATACCAGGATCCACCAACGTTCTGGTATCAAAGTCGCATGGTGGTAAATCTCCCTCTGATCCACAAGGGCGACGACCTGAGGCAGACTTTGGTTAGGCTGATCTCAGGATTACAAGGAACCACAATGGCTAAACCAGCAAAACTCCGAAAAATGGAGATTATGCTGGAGCCCGCACAACCAGTGAGGACGGGCCTTCCAAGTGTCCAAGCATGACGGTGTTTCACCTCCGAGATGGAAAATATGGCATCCCACTAGCATGTCACAGACTTGTTATTCTCTAAACTAGTACGCAGAACTTTGTCGTAAACTAAAAAATTCGGCTTTTTTTTAAAGTTTGAGATGGCTTTGCTAGAGCATCCATTGCTCGTTAGTAAAGTATTCGTTGAATTTGCAGAGCAGAATGAGATTTGTTCATCGGTGACTTTTTCTGATGATGATGGTGATTCTTATATATTTACTCTTGTCTGGGTGTTAAGTTCGGCAGAAATCACCCGATATCTGAGAAGTTACCTCGAGGTTAAGGAGTATATAGGAGAAGTAAAAGTAAACTGGAAAGAGCAAGCACTGTCCACTAATCTTTGACGAGCTCTATTGTTGAGAGAATTGTACCCTGAAAATACTTTTGTTGAAGGTATCAAAGGTGTGGACCGTCGTTTAACTCAAGGCGTATTGAAGCGAATCATCCCAGCGGTAGCCTCTACGAATGCAGTGATAGCTGCCGCATGTGCTCTGGAAGCAGTCAAACTAGCCACAAAGTATGTACTTGTCTATGAATTTCTCAGTCTCATTTAAAAAATTTAGGTATTGCGAGGCTGATAGAAAATATTTCAGTGTTGCTAAGCCAATCGATAACTATCTCAATTTTACGGATATCGAAGGAGTGTATTGTGGAGTGGTGAAGATACAGCGGAATGTTAGTTCTAAACTCGTATTTGTATACATTTATTGCGAGCGATATATCAGAGGTGTTAATCATTCTGCTGTAGCCCGAGTGTCAAACCTGCAGTACTGATTACGTGCGTGTGCAGTGTCAGTACAACGACACACTTCAAGATCTCGTTGACAAGCTTACCGATAGATAGTGAGTTCAATCTTCGCTATATCTCCGTCTGTGGTATATGTATACTATACTTACACTCACATACAACTACATGAATCTCACCGCAATGCTGTTCTGCAAATTTTCGACCATTTTTCACTTTGTTGTCCAGCTTTTTTATCCAAATATTCTATATTGTGTTGCCTCATTTTCAGTCAATTGAAGAATCCTACTCTTGAGACGGCGAAGGAGAAGCTCTACATGATCAACGAGCTAATACCTGATCTCAGAGAAAAGAGCATTGTGAATCTCAAACATCTACTCAGAGGTGTGTGGCAATGGTTGTGCTATATTTCTGCGCGAGAAATAAAGTTTTATCTTCGCTTTCTGCTTTTAGAATTGCTATCTCCAGATGAAGAACTGCTCGTTGCCGATGAGGTTCTACCGAAACCACTGCTGATTAGGGTGGTTTATACGGTGTAGCCGCATCACCGGAATGTGTATCAGGGAATCTACTCCGAATTTAATAAGTCATACTCAAATCCTAATGATGTTATGCAATGTGAAGGCCCCATTCAAACTAGTGCTAGGAATCTTTGACTCACTACCACTGTCGTTAACATTCGATGTGGTTGTAGTGTCCGGCAGTTTGAATCATTGCCCTTGGCTATATATTCAAGTGTGAAACTGTTTCCGTGATGTCTTGTAATGCTGTAGCTATCATGATCAGAGCACGTGAAAGCCATATAAGCTGTAAATTTTCTGACGTACGAACGTACTAACTGAAAAGATCTGAGTGGGCAATGTGTAGAATTAGTTAGGGTAGGCACATAAAATGTTGAAATGTCTATTTTAGCATTTTATCAATTTGTCCTACAATTATGCTGTGAGACAACCACAATGATACCGAGATATTTGCAAAATTCTGGACCACAGGTATCTATGATGGGAATCGAACACGCTGTTGCCTTTTCCTGGACTAACGCGTTCAGCACCACACCATGCAGGCCTTTATTTCGCCTTTCCCTCGGCTAGTTTTCTATCTACTAATACCCTGCTGGGAAAAATTGTAATATGCAGTAAATAAGAAGTTAGCATTATGCTTTGAGCATTAGTTCTTGCATAGACGAACGTATTGTTCCGAAAATAATCTTTTGTACTGAGGTTTGGCGAGAATTCTTTATTAGATGCTGTAAAGCAATAAATGTTCTATGTTGAATATAACACTGTACTAGCTGAAGTACTAGTTTTCCTTCGTACCTGCCTATTTATTGTCTGTTGAAGCACATGTTCTCCGCCCTAGAATGAGAATTGCAGCCAGTTGACTGTTGTGCGGATAGGATCGGCTCTATTTTCAACGAGGCAGGTAGTTTTTATTTCGCTGGCTTCACTTTTTATTGTAAAAGGAAGTATTATTGCTATACGGCAAACTGTTAGTTTGACCATGATGAGCCGGGGCGTGGTGCTTGTAGCACAAATTCGGTTTGCTCTCGGAGTGTCCTTAGGTATAGCGAGGAGCTCAGGAGGTATTCCCCATGGAAGACTGCCGTTAAGTGATATTTGGGCTGAGATAAACTGTTAGGTTTATTTTTTGTCGAAATGATGTAGGTTGTCGTTGAATAAAATAAGCTTTGAGTGAATCATTTAATAGTAATGGGCTGGTATGGGAGTAGTGCTGAGTAGAACCGTTAGTGTTCAAGTGTCATCATATGAGAATTTGATCTTTCAATGCTTTTTGCGAAGTGTTAGAAGAATTCTGTTGCTGATGGAATTTTGAAAGGGTTCAGCGTTCTACTTTCCATTCTTATCTGTTGGGGATGAGTTTTTGGTTAGATCGATGTCTGTGTGAATACTTTGCCTAGTGGTGAGCAAGTAAATTTCTCACGACTTCTCGTAGTTTTCACTTACACATTGGCGGATATCTGAGCGTTGTAGTTTGTTACAATGTTAATTTTTATTTGCTGCCTATAGTATACAAATAAATAGTAGGCAGCAAATAAGAAGTTAACGTTGTGGTTTCAACTATAGTCTTAGCTTAACTGGATTCAATGTCGATTTGGGCTTCCCAGATCAATCCAGTTGATAGGTGATCGCTAATGACATTGGTAGGTAGAAAACTAGCTGATATACAGGCGAAACGAAGAACCTGCATGGTGTGGTGGTGAGCGCGTTAGCCCCAGCAAAGAATAATAGCACGTTCGTTCCCCACCGCAGACACCTGTGATCCGGAGTTTTGCAGATATTTCAGCATCATTGTGGTTGTATTGTAATTAGTTACTTTAGAAGAATGTTTCGTACCCCAGGGAGATAGTATTTGCTTGTTCTTGGCATAACTCCGCCATTCCTTTTTATTCAAGCATGATTTTTTTTCCAGACAAATTTCGTGTCATGTGGGTTCATCACCTACATAAGCTGATCTTACTGTGATCCTCAAATGATTTCACTTTGAAATTCAGCAGTTGTGTTGATAACGCAAAGATGGTTCCTAACATTTGTGTAAATTGCCTTATATTTTCTGCATTTATTTATGTTTACGTCATATTTATATTGATTGCATTTTTTCACATTTTACACGACTCGTCATCATGTGTACTATGCGGATCCCATCAGTACTTGTATTTGATTGTTTTCCTCGCATTCATCCGACACAATGGTCTACGAACATTTCGTATGTTGAATCGGCTGCTGTTTGAGGACTTCGTCTTCCCTACGAATGTCGCAGAATGTTGGTCGAGTTTGACCTGTTTAAAATCTTGGAAATAGTCGGGTAAAGGCGTTTCCAGGTGGATTGAAGGAGAGCATTGGGATGGGCATTGAGCTAGAGCGTTTTAATCGCTGATCGAAGACATCACTAACCCTGCCCCATATGCTATATATATA